CAACATAATCAAATAAAAAACATATATATTTCTGTTGACATTTCGGCGCAAGTCATTTATTTATTCTTTTTTTCAGAAACAACGCATATGCCAACAGAACGTAAATAAGCCTACTTACATACCAGAATACAAGCCTACCTACATACCAGAATACAAAAAGTTCATAATTACCGAGTTCATTGTGGGCCGTGTGCGAGTGGCCGCAGTAGACTCATTACTCAGGGTGGTGCGTTCCACCGTGCAGGGGATCCTGGTAGAGCTCTTTACACGAGCAATCCGAGCAGAACCCCCGTCTGATTTCCTTCATGCCAACGTTCGTTGCAATTGCCTCACTCTGAAAGAAGATTTTTAACGGTCAGTCATTTAACGCCCATAGTCAACCTAGCCCTAAAGCGCCTAAGAAAAAAAAAAAAGTTTTGTTTATATATTTTTTGCAGATGTACCACACAGAAAAAAAAATATTCAACCAGCTACAGAAAACAAAGAGCATGAATAAAACCTCCAAAAACAAAAGCATGGTCAACGCCGAAAAAAAAAAAAAAAAAAACAGTAGCTTTGCCGGCGCGACTGTCAAAATATAACGAACAAAAAAGTAAAAAAAAAAAAAAAAAATGTACTCTCGGGCCGCCGCTCCACCCTTCCCCTCTTTCCGCAGACGCCGCGACGCCGACGCAACTCGAACGCGCGAACTGAGAAAAAACCTTTTCCTTTTTTTTTTGTGGGATTTGAATTAGAAGTTCGTCCACCTACCCCCCCCCCCCCCCCATTTTCACATACATACACACACATTATGGGTTTTTGCTCGCCTCCCACTTGAGAAAAAGTTCATAATCACTGCAACGCTAACGATGTCTACAACATAACGTTGCAGTGTAAATTGCTGTAATGAATTCTGAAGGCAAACAAACGCAAAATCGCCAACATTGTTTCCGTCAATCAACGCTCTCGGGCGGTCAACCTCAAGCATTTAGGGTGCACACCGAGAAACAAATCGGCGAGCCAAGCTTACAAACACTGACAGCTCCAGCTAGGGTGCCTTTATGTTGGCTTTGCCTTAGGGAGGGCGATGCCGTCCTTTGTAGTACCCGATGCCGACAGTGTACGCTCACGGATAAAATAAAAGGAAATTGCCGGTAATAAAATGCCGGCGTAGCAGTGCCAAAGCTAGCAGCTCGAGCTGGGAGAAGAACGAACGCGCGTTCAATATTAAAAAGTAGACAAAAGCGTCGGACAGAAAATGGTCTGATATCACCAGCCTAGGACATACGCGTACCAATGGGACACCCTAGCCCGCTAAAAGTGTTTTGTACGGAAGACAGCCCTGCGGCTCACGGCAGGGCAAACGATTAGCGACGCTTTGTCCTTAGCTGAACGAGCAGATCCAGGAAGCGACCGCGTCCGCGGACTGCAGCTGAACACTCTCTCTTTACATGCAAAGGTCGTGCATCTCACAGCCAGCGTGAAAATATTGATGGCTCGTTATTCCCACCCGCAATGCACCCAAAACAAAAGCGTCAATATGACAGGATTACTCACCCGAAGGAAGTCAAACGAGCAGCATGACGCTTGCGGCTCTCCGGCAACGACCGTTTCCAGCTCTCCGTGAATTGGCGCGAAGCCTCAGCACCATCCGAACTCTTTGCCGTGGATTAGTGCGCCTGCCCCTCTCCTCCTGACCGAACTACATTGGTCCAGTTAAGAGGGACCAGTCCCCTCTTAATATGAAGGGAGACGCGTGAATCTTTCTGTCGGTCTTTCCTGTTCAGAGGGACCAACGAAAGGGTTTCCTTGGTCTCTCTTAATATGTTGGTGTCCCTCTAGATGTTGCTATTTTATTTTTCAATTTCCCTCTTAAAAAGAGCTGTCCCCCTGAAAGCATTGTTGTCCCCTCTAAAATCAGAGGGACAGCGCTTTTTATGAGAGACCGGTTTTAGAGTGTACCTTTCAGCGGCTCTGTGACCCACGCGGTCACTTTTTATGAACAGTTTCAACTACAGCTGGAACCGGACACGTAACTCACAGGTATGTCTCTAAGTGTGTTTGCAACATGGGGCTGGATAACAGCGGAGAGGAGCTGGATGTCGCCAAATCTGCCTGCTCGGAGGAAACGGACGTCCAGGGCAGGAGCCCCGAGGTGTCACCTAAGTGTTCGTGAACCGGGGAATCAGCGCCGTAGACCATCAATTCATCGTGTTCCTAAGCTATTGGAGGCAAGCACTTGGCGCATTCGACGAAAGGGATGCGATGAAAGCAGCACCGAAGTTCGCTCGTACCTTTTCGACAAAAGTTTCGCGACTAACCGCCAGAATCGGGACTTCGACAACTACGACACACCGGCTTTCGGGAAGTAATTTGTTGCCTCTTTGGAACCACCTCCGATGCATGGACGATATAGGACGCCAAATACACCGATGTCGGCAACGCGTTCCACTTCCAGGTACCTTATATACACTCTTTGTCACATCCAGCACAAACAGAATTTTCGCGCCTTACTGGTGCGATGCGGGAAGTAGTTCTTAAAAAAATATTTGCTTGTCGAAGGAAGAAGTGATGTTTTTGGCGTTCGAAACGCGCCCGTCTCGATGAAATCACATAAAGATAACCTTGAATGCGCCGAAATATTCTTAATTCAACGCACAAGGAAAGAAATTACCAATTAGTAATGCTCCGCAAGAAGCCGGACTTTTATATATATATTTTTTTTTTTTTTTTTTTGTGTGTGTGTCTGTGAGGTGGACAGTTGTATACTATGGTGCCATGAGTGCGCCTCCGACTGGTGCGCTTACCGTGTCATCGAAGAAAAAGTTCTTCGATTTCCGCCCGATGACGTCATGAAAGTGTCGTGTCGTTGCCTGTCGCGATCCTGGCGGTGGAAACGAGCGGAGTTGAATGTGGCAGACGTCTGTTCTGCTGCAGGTCCCTCTGCAGTCAGACGGTCGGTGGAGACTAAAAGCAGACACGGGTTGGGACGCCGCGTGTCGACAACAGTATTCGCGTTCGCTAGTACTTTTTTTCGACAACACCTCTACTACGAACCGCCAGGATCGCGACGTCCGACACCGTGACGTGCCGGCTCCTATATGACGCGGTTGTAGGTGCCGAGAAACCCGTTCCGAACACCATAATAGACCGATCTCACGAGGAGTTGCGCGACGCCACCGCTACCGCGGTGCATTTTGGTACCTGTAGTTCTCCCCAGTTTTCCGGCCGCGTCGGCGCGCATTGTACGCCCGGCGTTTGGAAATTTTCGGGTTAGCACGAGACTTTTGGCCAGGCGTTGACTCATGGTTTTCAATCGGTGGCTTCACATGTATGCCACGGAGCTATAATAACAGCACCAGGCAAAAAGGCCTCGGATAATATGTCTTCCCGCAAGAAAGAAGCATGGCAAAGAAAGGTCGACAGAGCCGGACAGAGCGGCAGGAAAAATAGCGTTTTACGATTTGTTGCGCGATTTTCTTCATAATTTATATCCAATTATTGCAAGTTAGCTTAAATATGTAAGATTACAGGGCACGAGACATGCAGCGTGCCGAAGTGTTCCGTAAGCTGGAATCTCTCTTACCATTTGCTCCGTAGCGGCCTATTCGTTGATCTATCTCGAATAGGACCTCCGCACTGCTGTGCGGAGGCCGTTTTTAATACATTCTTTCCTCGGAGTATTTTGGTGGGTATAACTGGTATTGCGACGACATGTTTCAAGCACAACTGTGCTTCAAACGATCAGGACAATCACTAAAAAAGAGCAGCGATTCCCGATATGCACCACTTGATATAAAACAACTTTTTCGGAAGCAGCCTTCAGTTGTTTTTTTTCCATACCTACGCGAAAAGATTACATAATGCAATTTAGAAGTGCAACACGTACTTACCGCCAAAAATGTAACGAACGAACCTGATCGATTTTGTGGTGGTCTATTAGACTGGTGTTACTGATCCATTCTGCATTAGCACCAGTCGAGACCACAGAAAAAAAAGCTTCTCCCGTCGGGCAACTGTTAGCGTTCGGATCTTGCGCAAACAAAATAAAACTGAATAGAAACTGTGCACGAAAAATTATCTCCGCCCCAAGCTTTCAGGTATCTGGCATGGTTGCTTCTTTTTGATAGATGCCAATTATTACGGCGCGTCAGGCATGGCCTTTCTGTAGGTCAGTTCTTTGTGTGCATGCTTCTCCCGCTGTTCATCTGTACTCTGTCGCACAGGCTGTCAACCAGAATGAGACAACTTCTAGAAAACTATCGCTGACCGAGAAAGTCTATTTAGCTCCTCTTACTTGATGGCTGATTAAACGTTATGCACAAGACTGAGCACCGCCAAGCTCAGTTTTTCATCACATTTGATGCTGTTCCGTGGTGCTACACCGAGCCGATTGTCCCTCGAATTTTCTTGTTCTTTGCTATTGCACTAGATGTTCACTTGTTTGTAAGGTAATTGAGACGTCCGAGAAGTCAGAATGGTCGAGTAGTGGCGCCGTTGTTTTTTTGTTTTGTTTTTTCCGCGGCCGCAGTGGGACTACCCCGTGAACGGCAGTGGGCTTACGCGTTCACGAAGACGAAGAAGCAGACGACGACGAAGCAGACGACAAAGCGATTCTAAAGCGATAAGACGACTGAAACTGCTTTTCTGCCCTTGCTGAGGAAAGTAAGGCATCACAAACAACACAATCTTATGGAGTAAAAACATGCAAGACAATCAACATGATACCGGGGCGTGTCAAATGATAATCTATGGTGATGTACGTGCGCGCAGCCGTATGTAGCCGGGAAGCCGGGAAGGGATGACTACAAGAAGCATGACGGCGGCACCACTTCCGGAATGCGCGCGCCTGCGCAGTTCGCTTGGTGACATCGGTCAGTATATTAGTAGTTGTCTCAAGAACAGTTAGCGCGAGTGGACAAGGACACTTCTACTTGTTTTTCCTTGTGTTTCGGGGCAACTGTTTTTGAGATGTTTAACCGACTAGGTCATCAACTTTTATGCTTAGTAGATGTACTGACCCCGTAGAAGAGTCCAAAGGTGTTGTTCTTGAGCGGGTTGTTCAGGTTGGGCAAGAAGGCCTTGGCCAGGCGCATGAGGTCCTTCATGAGGGCCACCTCGTAGCCTTCAAACAGCATCTCCTTGGCCATGCGCTTCATGGCGAGGGTCTGGTTGTGCTTACGCATCATGGCGTCCACGATGGGCATGATAAGCTTGGCTGCCACGGCTGGCACGTGCTTGCGCGTCATGGCGGCGATTGCCTGCCGAAGACGAGAGAGAAGACGTCAATTAACGCCGGTCTTGAGATGGAAAGTCTGAAACTTTGAAGGAACACTGGAGGAGAAAATGCTTGAAGTGTATGGGCGAGCTGGGGGGGGGGGGGGGGGGGGGAATGGGGAGTGTTCACATGATGTTAATCTGAAATTTCATAGTTTAATATAAGCATTCTCAGACTTAGAAGAGTTCTAAAAAAGGGCGCCACAACACATTGGGTCTTCTAAGCAGCTTGGGTGTTCCCACTGCGCATGCGCTCTGCACGACGCCCCAAGCTGCTCGGGGGATTTCCGGAACGGGTGTGAACAGGCTATTAGTTTGCCCCCTTTTCTAAACTTTTTGTTACTTTAATCACAGCGACAAATAAAGGAACGCTGAAGTGTGTTGCGTCTTTCTTCATTAATATTTGAAGTACCACCCGGAAGGCTCAAACGTAGTGTTGTATCTACGATGTGGACCACAGCCCAACACCAAGAGATACGTGGTTGCGCTGTCAGTCAGCAAATCAGCAAATTGCTTTGAAGATACTTTTGTGGCGACCGACGTCGCTTTCGGGGAGACGGGAAGCGCGACATGTACGTACCACCACGGGCACGTTGAGGATGTAGACGGTGTCCTCTTCGCTGCCCGCCGACATGCTCGGCTCGAACACGAAGCTCTTCCGGTCGAAATACTGCACCGTGTTGCGCGGCTCGTTGAAGCCTTGGATCTCTTTCCGCCGGTACTCCCTGCAACAATGGATTCACGCTTGATGCCGGTTGACACTCGAGGAACGCACATCCTATGTGACAGGACTCCAAAATAGATACCATAGCGAGCCACATCCGAGTGGTGAGGTATTACTCTGGAATGTTTGCTGAATGTGCTCTTTACGTTCATTCGGGGAACGTCAAAGAGAATGAATCAATTTCTCCCTCATGGTTTCCTAGATAGAGCAATATATTAACGAGTGGTGACCGCTCAGCGCCTGAGAATGTCTCATGACCATCAACAAGTAAATCTTTCAACGATGGGCGGCTCTTCGCAACTTGGCGCCTATCAAAATGGCTGTCATTTGGACGATGGACGGGAAACAGGAGCACGCGTTTCTCTTACAAAAAAAAAAAAAAGAATTTAGTCTCATTTGAAAGTGTAAAGGATTCGCTCAATACACCTCATTCAGTCTCAACTGAAACTCAATAGACTTTTTTCAAATGAGTTCCTATTCAACCGTCACGGGATATTGGCCACCGAGTCTTAATAGACTTCTTCCAAAACTCGAAGCGCCTCATTGCAGCGAATCGCCACGCAGTACACTCTGGGAACTAGTTGGCCACTCAGTTTCGGTTTTGTTTGAAGAGCTTCAATTCATGCTATACCACGCCGTGACCGAATGCGCTGCTTGCGTTTTCGATTGTCCGACTTCCCACGAATGTACAATACTCTGTAAGCATTCTCGAGCGAAGGAAGACTGGGGAACTTTTCTTGGTTCACGACATGCCGGATATTGTGTCTGCGTTTGCAAACGTATTAAGACGTCACTCCGTCCTCTCGCCCGACGATTGCATCATTGAGCTCACTTTCAATAATCCTGTCTAGTACCAGTGAACCACGATTGAAATTTGATCACTTTGAGCCAAACAGGTATTTTGTTTTCCAAACATCCTCTTCGTGTTACTTCAATGAGCAAAAAATAAGCCTCATCCTCACAGGATACTCACAGTTGAGCCCACGTTGACGCATGAACTTTTAGGGAAACGCAATAACTTCGCCCTCACTACTGCACAAAAGTTACTATGATGTCTTCCTCGTGTCATCGTGTATCTCCCACTAAACTTTTATGCCGATTGGAGAATAAGTTTTCGCAAACACCGAGATCGGCTCGCTACGACGGAGTCCCTAACAAGCGCCCCCTACTCCTCGCGAAGCCTTTTTGGATGAGCCTTTCCCGACACCCCAGAACCGTGTCTGAACGGTGGTCCTGAAATTATCTCGGCATACTCAGTCAGGAAGAAAGCAAACATATAACAAATCTTATGGCCATTAGCAGCCGCCGAATGCGCTTGGAACTCTTTAGTTCATTTGGCGCACCGCATAGGGGTTCACGGCGTATACGCGAGTCCGCCGAATAGTGCGACATTCTTTACGAAAGTGCTCGACTGTTGCTTTCTTTAAAACGGTTGGTATGTGTGAATGTGCCTATATGATTGCAGGATAACTTCATGCGATATTGAATTAGTTGAATCCGAGCATGTAAAGACTTTACTTCGTGCTGTGCTGCGGGTCAATATACAGCTATAAAGGGATAAGAAGTGTTCGATTTTAGGTTTTTAACGGCGTCTCCCAGTTTACCTCGCGTACTCGGGAGTATTAAAAAAACAGTAATTGAAAAAAGGTAATTTCGTCAGTGGGCGCATAAAACAAGTAACAAACTTGCCGACCAGCAACACTAATGTAAAGTTGCGAGCTCACTGTACACGAACTTATTTGTTGTTACAGCGTGTTGACTCGTACACAAGCAAGATCCCCGAGCTTCGCAGCGTCGAGATTCCCAGCACTGGCTCGTCCTCGTACCTCGAAACTCTAAGAGGAAGGCTCGAGTACAAAAATAAGCAAGCATGTGTCAAGACAAGCTTTACATATCGTTCGGGCTTGTGCTGAAGCTTCGAGGTCTGGCCATTTAAGTTGTTTTAGAGACCCGAAACGATGTGCTCAAGACCAGGAAACATGACGGCTGTTTTTAATTCACGCCCTGTGTATGATCACTCCTCGACGTGTCGATCGAAACCGAAACCATGCCGCTTTCCTCCCTGGCCAACTAGTTCCCAGAGTGCAACGCGCGCAGTGTTGCTTGCAGGGATTTATGGAAGTAGTCTATTGAATTTTTAGCAATTGCATTTCAATAGAATTTTGGCAATAGTGTTTCAATAGAATTTTGGCAATTGAGTTTCAATAAAAATTTGGAAACGTGTTTCAATAAAATTTATTGCAACTGCCTTCAAAAAAACTTTGCAACTCGTTAAGAACTTTTTGTATAATTCCTTAAAGCACGCAACCTGAAGGAAACGAACACAAACGTCATAACTAAGCACTCACAACACACTAATCGTACTCCCATTGACTACTCCCACCACTACATATGAAAGGTCGGTGACCACCTCAGCATTTATTAAGGTTCCCAGTGTGCTATTTCCCCCTTGGAAATTTCATAAATGATAAACAGTGTTTCGACGTCATTGGACTCTATCCCTTAATAAAGAAACATTAATACGAGCAATAATCGTTCGGTGCAGTAATCCACAAAAGCGATTCCTAGCCGGTATGTTATCGCTTCTCTGGATAGCACCACTCAGCACAAACGAGGCGCAGTAGTTTCTCGCTTTAAAATATTCTATGGCATCTTTTCCGTACGAGGTGACTAGTATAATAGGCTCAATGATGTCACCATGCAGTCACTGACAGAATGAAAACGGCGTGGCGTGTCTTGCGAACACATGAAGCGAGCACGCCCTTCATGCATTCCACCGTGTTTTGACAGCGCGCGCGCGCTTGATATGCACGAGAGGTTGTAGCGTTTTCGAGGGGGAGACTCAAGCTTGAAGGGAGACAAGTGAAGCTCCTCCCCGTTGTTCTCACCTTGTCAGTGACCTTAGAGTTATTATAATGCACCCTACGCTCTCGAAGTTGTCAAAAGTTTTGGATTCCATTAAATGAATCTGAGCAAATATGTTTATGCTGAGAGTAAGTGTACTCATGGTTATTTGCAGCTGTGCCCTTGCTGGACTCCTCAACAGCAAATGGTGCAAGCCAGCTGATGTCAACTTTACTCAATGACAAAAACTCGGTTGAATATCTAATGAGGTGACAAAGAAATGTCTGTCAAGTATTATGACTCAAGGGCATGTCAGTGACTAAGCTCAAGGTAATGAATGATAAAACTCATCTATATATCTAATGAGTAAACTTAAATGGGTGATGCAACAATTTTTCTACTTTCAATAAATACAGCTTAGAATTAATCCTTGACATATATGACCTATGAAACACAGGTTGGTTTCCTTCACCACGCAATGGCAGCCGCAAAAAAAAATTTAAAAAAACGATTGTTGTTCATTTCCTCAACTCGCTGTTAGAAAAAAAGACAACGTGATCTGGAGGCGAATATATGCCGCCAATATTTGTCACATAGGCACGCGTTGAGGTTGGTTAGGTTAGGTTTAGGTTAGGTAAGGTTAGGTAAGGTTAGGTCAGGTCAGGTCAGGTCAGGTCAGGTCAGTTCAGGTCAGTTCAGGTCAGGTCAGTTCAGGTCAGGTCAGGCCAGGTCAGGTCAGGTCAGGTCAGGTCAGGTCAGGTCAGGTTAGGTCAGGTTAGGTTAGGTTAGGTTAGGTTAGGTGAGGTTAGGTTAGGTGAGGTTAGTTTATGTTAGGTTAGGTTCCACCATGGTTCCCCGCATTGTTAAGGTTAGGCTATTCCCGTCTCTGCTGCGATCTGGCACGAGCCACTACCCGAATGCATGTCGAGGCGTTGATTGTCACGATCCAAAATTGAATGTCTACGCAGTCTTCGTGTCCCCTGTATGAGCAGAATTTAAATATCCTCACAGCGGAAATCGCAAGGATTGATGACGCACTCCTTGGGATCGCATTGTTGGCATTGTCCCCACAGCTCCGTCATTAAAATTTGCGAAGGAGAGACTGAAAGAAAAGCTCCGCTTTTATCCTTAGACTTCCGCCGCGACGAAGACGCTTCTTGGTCAGTGGCGTTGCGCTCGAGTATTCTTCGGTCCCAGTAGTGCCAGTCAGCTGGTGTAAAGCGAGAAGCGTTCGTACACAATATCGTTGCACAGCCCATTTAAAATGACCAATATTGAGCTGTTCATAATAAAACTTATTTGCAAATGTAATAAGTTCAAAATAATCAACGTTATGTTCTTGATGATAAAACTTGTTTCCATATATAATGAGTAAATTCGAATGAATAGATACTGAGTTCATAATGAGGAAACTCGATTGCATTCTTAATAAGTAAATTTAAATTAATGGATATTGAGTTCTAAGTAAGCAAACTCAATTGCATTCTTAATGAGTCGATTCAAAATATTATATTTTGAGTTCATAATGAGTAAACTCAATTGCATTCCTCATGAGTAAATTCAATACAATCGGTATTGAGTTTCTTATGACCAAACTCAATTGCATTCCTAATTAGTAAATTCAACAGGATCGATAATGAGTTTCTTATGACCAAACTCAATTCCATTCCTAATGAGTAAATTTTATAGATTCGATATTGAGTTTCTTATGACCGAACTCTATTGCCTTCCTAATGAGTAAATTCAATAGAATCGATATTGGCTTTCTTATGATCAAACTCTATTGCATTCCTAATAAGTAAATTCGTTAGAATCGATATAGAGTTTCTAATGATCAAACTCAATTGCATTCCTGATGATTATAGTCAATAGAATCGATATTGAGTTTGTTATGATCAGTCTCAATTGCATTCCTAATGAGTAAATTCAATGGAATCAACATTGAGTTTTTAATGATCAAACTCATTAGACATTGAGTTTATATTGAGTTTCAATTGACGAAGTAGCTCTAGGTTTGCCCAACACAATACCAGGAAGCTGTAAGTCAACATCTCTACCGGGAAGTCGATGATCTACGAACTAGGGGGCGGACAAAACATCCCAGGCAATCCAGCACCGAAAGACAAACATACAATCAAAATGGCGACATTTTGAAAA